TTGACCTCATCCAGGGAAACAAACATTGTCTTAAGATTAAAAATATGTAAAAAAAAAAAAAAAAAACATCACACTTTTTAAATTGTGCTACAGTCACATCCTGCTGTGTTCATCCATCCATCCATCCATTTTCCTCCTCTTTATCCGGAGTCGGGTTGCGGAGGCAGCAGCCTTAGCAAAGCCGCCCAGACTTCCCGATCCGCACCCACCTCCTCCAAGATGCCCAAGCCACCTCAACTGGCTCCTTTCGACGTGGAGGAGCAGCGGCTCTACTCGTAGCTCCTCTTGTGTGACTGAGCTCCTGACCCTATCTCTAAGGGAGCGCCCAGCCACCCTGCAGAGGAAACTCATTTTGGCCGCTTGTATCGATCTTGTTCTTTCGGTCATTACCCAGATCTCATGACCATAGGTGAGAGTAGGAACGTAGATTGGCCGGTAAATCGAGAGCTTTGCTCCCTTGCTCAGCTCTCTCTTCACCACGATGGTCCGTTACAGCGACCGCAACACTGCAGACGCTGCACCGATCCGTCTGTCAATCTCACGCTCCATCCGCCCCTCACTCGTGAACAAGACCCCGAGATACTTGAACTCCTCCACTTGAGGCAAGGACTCTCCACCGACCCGGAGAGGGCAAACCACCTTTTTCCGGTCCAAAACCATGGCCTCGGAATTGGAGGTGCTGATCCTCATCCCGTTCACCTTGCACTCTCCATACGCATGGAAAAATAGTTTTGCTACAATAATGCCCCCATAGAGTCCAGTGTGTTTGGCATGAACTTGTCACTGACTGTGTGTTAAAATATCTCCACTTGAGAACAACTTCACCTGTGAAACCACTGCCCTTCTGCAGAAACAAGTGACGTGCAATTGAAATGTTGGTGATACATTTCACTTTGATTTTTTAAAATCCTTTTGTATTTTCTGCTTGTTGTTTGTGATTTTTCTAACTATATTATTGAAATGTTCTCATATAACCTAGTATGGATTTTTTTTTGTTTTTTTTAAAGCTGAGAAAAAAGGCTGCAAATTAGCACAGTCTAAACATTATGGTATTTATATATTCAATTAATGTATCATCCTGTGTATTCATCCCACTTTATGAAATAAACTCTTGTATATTCAAATGCTGTACAGTTTCAGAGTGGAGTCACAGACATTGTTGAGTATCCAGTGGTTTTAATATATTTACATATATTTTTCTCAAACTTCTAAGATTAAAGGAAGGGGTCAAAATATGAAACTTTAAAAAAACAGAGACTTTTTATTTTAAGCTCTCTCTTTTTGGTAGACTTTGATCAGATCAATAATCAACAGAGAGACCCAACAAATCCAGAGTTTCCTTTGGACTCCCTTTGAGCAAGCAGTTGGTGACAGTAGAGAGGAAAAAAAATCTCCCGGTGTCCAGGGAGGGAGAAAAACCTCTGGCAGAACCAGGCTCAGGGAGGGCGGCCATCTGCCTTGACGGGTTGGGTGGAAGGAGGAGCAGACAGAGAAGAGGACAAACAAATAGCAGAGCTCCTCCACCAGCAGCTTGTGCTGAGCTGAAACACACAAACATTATGAAGGTTGACAAATAGACACAGAAATGGTGCAGTAGAGTGTTTAAAGTCTTCTTCTCATTTTGACTAATAGCTCAATATATCAGTAACACAGTTTGCCTCAACATAGTTTTTTTTTTTTTCTTTTAACAGCTTTACTTGATCATAACTCAGTTTTTAATCTCTTGTCTTCTTGCCTCCATGTGTGAAATTAAACACATATCAAAGGTTTTATCTGTAAAATCTGATGAAATGGACAGAATCTAATGTGACCAGCTGATTGACTGCAGGGCATCTTATGCAGATTTTCCTTTTGCAGGACTCTAAAAGTATTTTGTTCAGTATGAAGTTCAATACAGTCTGACATTATCATGTGTGTCAATGACTTTCTCCAGGTGAAGAATTCACACCCAAATACTGCCAACCTTCCTCAGCAGAGGAAGACCAAGGTGATCCGTCCCTCCAGACCTTCTGCTGAGGTGTTGAACTTGGTGGGTTCCACTCCTCAGTGATCCCACCCGCATGTTGACGGTTCAGGTCACAAGGCCTCCGTCCACCATCCAACCTGCTGACCAGAAAAGATAACGCAGAGATAACAGTTGTCACCTTGTCAATGACCTCTTTAGATTCCTGCAGATGACTGACATCAGCGCTTGGATGTGAGTCATGTCAGGAGTGAACTCCAACAGTGAGTCACACTTTCCAAGATTTACTTCAAAGCTGCAGAAAAAAAAAAAGTGCAATGTTCCAGTTTCATTTGCACTATTTTATCATCATCTGTACTATTTCATTTCAGTGTCATGTACAATAATTCAGTTTCAATATTTCATTATCATCTATAACATTTGAATGTCATGAGAAATATTTCATTATTGTGTGTAATAATTTAGTTCCATGTGCAATATTCCATTTCTTGTGCAAAACTGTAACTGTAATATTTCAATTTCCTGTATGATATTATGTTATTATGTGATATTTACATTTCCTGTACAATGCTTCAGTTCCGCCAACTCTGAATCATTGACACTGTTCCTTCTTACTTTCATATTCTAGTCTTCTTTTAGCTGACATTTTTATTTATAGTAATGTATCGTACTTATATCATTTTGCTTTTTCTACTCGGCACTGCATTTTATTTATTTATTTATTTTTTTAGCAATATCTGGCACAAGAATATCCTTTGGGATTAATTCAGTTTTGTCTTGTCTTTTATTTATTTATTTATTTTTTTAGCAATATCTGGCACAAGAATATCCTTTGGGATTAATTCAGTTTTGTCTTGTCTTTCTTGGTAATTCGATCCAACATCTTTTGTGATATTACATCTGGTCCAGTAATTATTTTTTATAAAACGTTGTTCCCTCTGATATTAGTGTATGGACATCAGGCAAGGAATATAATAAGTTTGGGGGGTTCGAGGGTCCTCTTCCAGGAAATGTTGAGTACTATCTACTGCATTCTGTTGATGTTTTAATGCACAAATCTGTGTATTCTCTGCATGCATCTGTATCCTTCCCTTTTTTATTCGGGGGACAAATTCATGTGTTCTAAATATGAGTAGGTGGTGCACATGTGCTCTACTTAGCGTTGTTAAACCTTGTCAGATCCATCAGTTGTTGGTAGTAATACATACATTTACTCAAGTACTGTACTTATCCATCCATCCATCATCTGTACACCGCTTAATCCTCACCAGGGTCGCAGGGGGGCTGGAGCCTATCCCAGCTGACTTAGGGTGAAGGCAGGGGACATCCTGGACAGGTCGTCAGTCTATCACAGGGCTACACTTAGAGACAGACAACCAAGCACACTCACATTCACACCTACGGACAATTTAGAATTACCAATTAACCTCAACATGTTTTTTTGGACCTTGTGGGACCTTTTGGGATGAGAGAACCCACAGAGAACATGCAACCTCCACACAGAAAGATCCCCGGCAACCTTCTTGCTGCGAGGCAACAGCGCTACCAACTGCACACCGTGCATCCCTGCTTGTATTTCATATGGATTATTATTTATGCTACTCTGTACTTCCACTACATTTCATAGAAATGTGGTGTTTTCTACTCCTCTAACATTTATTTGATAGCTTTAGTTACTTTTAAGATGAAGATGTTACAGAGTGGATAATACAACAAGCTTTCAAAGCACAACACGAAAGACTGAACCAGCAGTTTCCAACTTCTTTGGCTGCGAAAGTTTTTGCGTGTGGTCAATGGTTAGGAATAGAATTAACATTTTGTCCTACAAAGGCGTTGTGGAGCAAATGGTTTTTCTGTGTCATTGCCTCTCATCCAGTCATGGATGCGAACAAGCCTGTACTGTGGTACATCTCTGCAATGCCGTCATCCAAGAAGGCAAAACATCAACAACCAGTGGTTTCAAACCTTTTAGGCTTTTTAGAAAAATTACTGTAGTTTAGGTCACTTTCAGATATTAGAGAAACAGCCAAAAAATTGAAAATGGAATGAGTGGATCAGAACTTTGCTTTTCTTTCCTCTCCTATAAATCATCTGACGCCCACTTAGATTTAGCTGCTGTCCTTGAATTTAAAACTGGATATTAAGCATTTTAAACCTGCAGCAGCTACAATAGCAACATGTTGGGGAAACACTGATGCTTTACAGTTAATAATCTAATAATGCCATATGTAATGCTTTGTCACCTACAGACACCAAACCACTACTTCAGTACCCAACTACATTTACTGCTAATGCCTATTTACTTTCACTTATGTAGGCTATTTCATGCAGAACTTTTACTTGTAATGGAGTTTTTCCTCCACTTTGCTGTATTCATGTTTTCTGCTATTTATTGAGAAACAGTAAGCCAAAAATATTCATAGTGTCCACATAAAAAGTATTTTGGCAAATAGTATTTTTTTTTCTTTTGCAATGTGTGACTGTAAAATGTTTTACTGTTTTTAAATCTGTGAAAAATATCATTTTACTATCATTTGAACGAGCAATTATTTGTAATAAGGATCGAAAAAGTGCTTATTAGCAGTTTTTGTTAAATTACAGATAACATCTTGTAAAATCATATAAACATAATAAAAAAGGCCCAAACTGTAGATAATGCCCACATCAAAAATCAGTATTTTTAAAATAGTAATTTGTAAAATTAGTTTTAGTGTATTAAAATCAGCTGAAATAAATAATATCATAAAGGCATTGCTGTAGTAGTATTTTCAATAACAGGTTGTTGAACAGTTTAATCTATTCTAACCGTTGCATGCATAAGGCCGGCTTTCAAAAATAATGGCGTGCATCGTGTATTTATCAATTAACCGCAGACTGATGATCGACTACAAGCTCAGTTTCTTTAGAACTTCAACCCGTATGTGACTGTCAGACTCTCTCTAAAGCTAAAACAGTTCACTTTTTTGTTTGTTCTTGCTAGATCAGGTTGGTTTAAATATTTCTTCCAGCATCAACACAATAAAATCCAAACACAAAGCAAAAGACGACAAAAAAAGGTTTTATTTAGAAAGAATTCACAGTTTCTAATGGCACTACAGTTTTTGTAGTAACTCACTCCTGCTCAAAAATACTGTGCAGCTCTTCAGAGTACTCACAGACAGAAAAAGAGAAAGAGAGAGAGAGAGTGAGAGGGAGAGAGAAGAAGAAGAAGAAAAGATAGCACTTGACATATAAGGTAGAAAAACAAAAAGGCATGAGGAGTCACACAAAGTGCACACTGAGCTCCCAGAAGTGCTTTCTCCCCATTTTCTGTGTTATGGATGTAAATAGATTCAAAGTAGTCTTTCTCATAACACAGACACACACACGCACACACACAGAGGAGACACAGTAAATCTCACATGCGTACAGGTTTAGACTCACGAACATGTCATACACATTCAAAAAAGGGTAAAAAAAAAACAAAACACTCAGGATCTGCTCGGCTTGTGGAACATACGCAATCACATTTTTAGTGTTCCAAATTAGACTCCTCTTTCCTGCGTTCCCTTTATTCGGCAAAACAATTCATTTCCTACTCTCCGCTCTCAATTCAAGGTGGGGCAAACACATGAAGCCGTAGAGCAATGACAAGTGAATAAAAGACCGAGGGGAGTGTACGGTGAGAGTGAGGACGCACAGAAAGGTCGCTAGACGTGGAGAATGAGAAAGCATTTCCAGAGTGGTTTCATAAAAGCAGGCATATTTAAAGAGAGGAAGTCGTGCAAGTGGTGGGGGTGGGAGGCTCGTGGAGCAAAGGAGAGCTGTTAGGAGCTGGTCAGAAGAGGTAATGAAGCTCTTGTGTTAGAGCAGCGGCGCTAGAGCAAAGTTCTGTCTCTGTCCAAGAATGTGCACAAAACCGACCTCACGGAGCCAGTCAGAAATAGAAACGTACATTTAGATTTTTTATCATTTAAAAACACACACACACACACAATAAAGAATAACCCTCCTTTCGTAACTGCAACTGCCTGCAACTTTTAAAACTGATTGTTATTGTAGGTCAGTCATGAGAACAAACAGGGCGAATTAAAATCTAGAGAAGATGCTGAAACAAGAGAAGGCGGGACGATAATGAACAGCTTAGCCCTTTGCACTACTTCCAACTACCCAGCAGCTTGGACAAGACACAAAAGCAGCAGTGTGACGATCCTCATAAACACGCATTCATTCTTGTCTGATATTTCAGGCCGAGGCAAACGCAACAAAGAGCTGCTATAAAGTGAGAGCCTGAGATAAAAATGTGAAACATGACAAAGAGCAATAATGTGGTCGAGCCATCCACCATGACTGTGTGTCTGTACCGTAGAGTAACATTTGTGTGTAGCATACTTGCAGGGATGAGCTACTGTGACACTGCAGGATTGAAAGACTGACAAACCAGTGCCTAGGTTAGAAAAAATCTCTAGTCATTTAAATAAATAAATAGATAAATAAAACTGGTCTGTCTGACTCATCTGCAGGGTCCCAGTAGAGGTGTGTGTTTGTGTTCCGACAGTATATTGTGCCCTCAACAAGGAGAAAAAAAAAAAAAAAGAAGTTTCCAACATACTGGTTGTGAGGATAATTCAAACAACCCTCAATGATAAAGGAGGAACATGGCTCAGTTGCGGATGAAAGAAATAACAACACGTCGTGAAAACAATAAAACACAGTTTGCCTCTGGCCTGTTTACCTTCATCACAGTTATAAAATCCGTCGTGACAGCATCATCTCTCTTCACCTGGTGCGTGAGCAGTGTTTTTTTTTTTTTTTTTCTGGGCCCAGCCCGAATAACTGGAGAATGATTCACTGTGTGGGATCCACAGACTGCTGCTGCTGCATTTGTATTATGAGGTTAAATGGGGCACTAAACTGACAGGGCTAACACATTCAGACCATTTCACGCCATGCAAAAGGATTTTCTTCATTCAGCTCTTGATGGTTGGTTGGGAACACGCTGACAGAGACAGAGGAGGAGAATCACTGAAAGTTTAAACACTCTGGTCCCAAACAAACACCTGCAGTCGTTTCAGGACTGAGACAGGATGGATTAGATTAAACGATGGCAAAAGAAGACAGAAAGAAACAAGGATAAGAGAAGTAGTATGTCATGCTCCGCAGTTCTCTCACATTTCATCCCAAAGAGCGGCCTGTTACTCATCCAAGGAACGTCGAGTTGAGGCCGGCACCTCCCCTCACTGTGCTCAGAGTGGAAAAACTAATTTCACCGGTGCTCAACTGTCATGGGACGATGTGCTTATCCAGTAGAAAAAACATGTCGATGGATCTGTCGGATGCTTAGCTCCCCGCCACAGTGTCTCTCTGTGCACAATTCTCTACATTTCATGTTTTCAGAATTAAAAGGTCTAGAACAGATATAAAGGCACGTAACCGTAAACAGGTCTTTGACAGGAGTGGATGAGGACTGGGTGATGTCGAGCTACTGCTGCCAGAGCCACTTCAGTTCCACGGTGCGCCTGGGTGCTCATGGGAAATGTGGTTCTTTGGGATGTGATCAGACCTCTTCTCCTCACTCGAGTCTGCTACCGTTATAGTGTGTGTGTGTACGGTTGTGAACAGAAAGCTGCTGTTAAGGTGAAGTGTGAGTCTTCAGACATGTCCGGTGACCGCTGTCACCCCGATGGTCCCAACGCTCATCTCCTTGTTTCCCTTCATAAGCTGCTGCAGGCTGGGCAGAGCGCCGACGCTCCCGCCTGGCATGTGGGGGAACTGCAGCTCCGTCTGTCGGGACTTCCGACGCTTCATCGAGCGTTTCTCCTGACGGGACTTAGTGGGAGGCTGGCTGAGGGGGAAGGAGAGGCCGTGGCCGTTGCACATGCCGGCGGAGGGGAATATGGGGGAGGGAGGGGGGAGGCGGCTCGTGTACGACTCCTCGGAGTGGGTGGATGAGCTGCAGCTGGTGGTTTCTGGGGTGGCCTCCTTGGATGTGCAAGTGGGCAATGATAGCGCCTCCTCTGTGGATAGAGGAGGAGGGAGCAAAGCGGGTAGCGGAGGGGGAGGCGGAGGCAAGGGAAGGGGAGGGGGAGGAGGCGCCGGGAGACATGGGTGGAAGCCGTTGCACTTGGGATCCCCATTTGCGAGGAGAGCAGAGGGATCGAACACCTTCAGAGTCTCAACTTTGTCCAAAGACTTTGTCTTGCAGCGTTTTTTCTGCAGGAAAAAACATAACAGAGATGGAGTATTTATTTTTTTTAAAGTTTCAAAGAGATTGAACAAATATCTGATAATGAAAGGACATATTAACCACTTTTGTGCTAGACACTGATGCAACACAAACTGGTCAGAGAAGGGCAGGAAAGCTTAAAAGGGAATGATGGAATACAGGATTTGGAAAAAGTTGATATTCCTGTAACTTTCTAAGCCAAGTGTTTGATCCCAGTGCTGCGCTGTGATAAAAAACCATAGCAGACCATGCTGTATTCACTTCACCAAAAAGATCAGGTGAGGTGAATAAAGTATCGGCGTACTAACACACAGTATCAGCAAAGAAGTGGTTAACTGGTTTTTGGAGTGAGCTGAATTCTCAACACTCCTCAGTTGATCTCATCTCGTCTACTCCGCTGAGATCAGAAAAATCGGTGACAGATGAAGAAGTTACTCCCTGCTCTGACACACTTACTGTACAGACTGACTGACACTAGAAAACACACAGCACTTATGTAAGGCGGCCATCACAGCCAACAGACACTGTACCTTTTTCTCTGGAGAAAACCTTAGAGGTTCTACAATGTACAAGTCATCTGGACCTACTGGGGAGGGGAGAGAGGGGCCAGGTTAATGATGGAATGGGAAACAGGAATACATACATGTAACAAGCATGAAGTGACCTTGCAAGTAGTATTATTCAAGACAAAATGGCAATAAAAGACATTTCTAATCGTGTCCTACTGTCGCAACAGGAGGTAGCGCAATTAATTTGACTAAACATTAAGCTGAAATCACACAGAAGCATGTGTTATTTTATTATTGATTACTACTTGCAAATGTCTACCATGAGCCAGCAAAGCATTGTGCTCTATTATTACACTCCTTAAGCCTGCGTGTGGACACAAGCTGGCAATGACAGCCTCTCAGCCTCAAGGGCAAACTCTCCCACACACACACACAAACACACAGAGTTGAGGGATAATGAACAGCAGGGGGAGTTTTAGGTTTCATGAGTCAAACGCTTGCTTCTTTTATTGCTTGCAACAGCCTCTCCCTGTGGGCGTGTGTTGCTTTAGGCGCTGGCAACGCCGCAGATATCTGCCACTGAAGCCTGGCGACGCGCGTGAGAGGAAACAGCGAAAGGTGTAGAGAGTGAGAGATGGAAAAATGAAGAAAGAGTGGGTAGTGCTTGGACAGAGCTGCAGTGCTCGAAAGCAGCAAATTCGAAAGAGTCGTGATTACGTCGTCTTTGCGGCACACTATGACTGTAGTATCAAGTCTCCGTTATGTTTCAGTGACAGACGCAGGGGGGAGAAACACAATAGATGGGAAAACAGAGAAGGTACGCTTGAGGAGAGACTTGTTCGCAGCTTGTGTACACTTGTGCATTAAGGGGACGGGCTCTTTACCTTCTGTTGAGGACAGGTGAAATGACTTGGAGCGAACAAGCGGGCAGGTCACCCTGCGCTTTAGGCTCATATCATCATAGGAGGAGAAACATCTGACGAGGAACAAAAAAACACTGTTATTTACAATGTGCAACAGTTAGTGGCAGGACAGGAGTGACAGCATTTGACAAACATAACTTAAGCATGGAAGTGATCCAATGTTGCATTCAAAAACAGAGTCCTAAATCTGGGTGTAGGAATCATGAATGACAGATTTGAGAGAAGCTTAACAATAGACAGCGAATCAAAAGCAGAGCAAAGTTAAACAAAACTTCTGATTCATTGCCAGGTGCGTGTGTTTGTGACAAACCTCTTGGGGCTGGGGTAGTGGTTGCTCTTGGGAAGAGCAGCAGTGTTGGTGCTGGGGTTGGGAGACGAGCTGCGGCAGCACTGCAAACACAGCAGGAGCCCCAGAGACAGACACAGAACCAGAGACACCACCAAGTAGCTCTGACGGTCCGATACCTGCAGAGGCAAAGTTCATCACACAGCTGTGAGACGTTGTTCAAGAAATTCACATTTCACTAATAAATCCAACACTCTCTATAAGTGCATATGTGAGTGTTCTTCTCACGTTTCAACTACAGTACATGTGATTTGCTTCGAACACAACGTGTGTGTTGCTGGGGAACAGGGGAAAATGCAGTGTCAGGTTTGAAGCAGATCGGATGAAAAAAGGCTGTTTTGGGGGTCTTTTGTGTTTTTTGGCATCCCCACTTTATCTACCCGTTTTGCTGTGCAAAGTCCTCAAAGAAAAATGTCATCTGATGTCACATTTTGACAATGAAAACTGCAGTAGTACATTTAAATCTAAACTGTGTATGTATGCAACATAGTGTTAACTCCTTACACCAGTTAGGACGGTTAAAACTGTGTCTTCAAGCCTGACTTAGCAGCAGAAGTCCTCCTATTTTGCCCTGAAAAGTTTCCTGCAAAAGGTCTGACACATAAAGTCTGTAAAGCTTGACCACAAGTGTTTGTGGTAGAAGCTGCACAGTCTGAAACACAAACTCCCTCCTCTTTTCTTTTTAAATAACCTTATGTGTTTTAGGGGTTTGATGTATAAGTTAAATAGAAATTCCTTCCCAGTTGTTGGCAGCTTTCTGACAGTCAGCTCCCCCCTCCGTTGCATTCCATATGCATTTTTTCTCCCCATAAACCTGTGAATTTAATCCTTGTGGAAACAAAAAATGGTGGAAAGTCTTTCCAGGAAAATAATTTGAAAATGTGTGCTTCTAGTGAAGGTCAGTGGGGTATTTTCCGTAGAAGTCAGAAGACATCTCACATGGCATGTTGTAGAACAGCACACACACTGACAAAACAGCCAATTCTGCAAATGCCTATCATAATTTGGGGGGGTTTATATGGTCTTCATATATATTTATTTAATATATGTGATATCTGTGCAACAACCTTCAAAATAATATGAAATGGTACCATATGTTTGACTTGTGTTAGTTTCTCATAACCAGACTCATCTACACAGCAGTGTGTCGGCGCACATCATTATTATTCTGCCATGGGGAGAAAAATGCTCTGGCTTGTTTAAATTTCTTCGAGCCAATCACATTCGACTGTCTGGCGCCAAGCCCAAGGATGTAGCCACAGTGCCAGTAAAGGCAGGCTGGTACCTGCAGTCTACATGTGGTGAGTCAAACTAGACTAGTATTGATGCCTTCTTGACCTTCTTGCATTTATTTGACCAAACGCCACGTCTCACTTTCTCTCTCAGCAGCGTCACAGAATTTGAAAACTACTACTGCACTACTTCTAAACAGATGGTTTGTCTCTGGTGCCAGTTAACAGCTTGCTGGAGGGACTTAGCAGAACATATGGGTCGCACATCTCACCAGTCTAAATATAAATCAAGGAATCTGTTTGTCTTTCTCTGTTCTTTCCTTTTTCTCAACAACTGTACAGCCAATCCGTTTCAAACTTGCCAGGTGTACTACCAGAGACCCAAGGAGATGCAACGTCAAGTTTGAAGTTTTTGGTCTCATTTTTGGGTCTTTGTAGAGTCCTGTAGACAGGTGTGGCAAAAAACGTACAGACCACTGCTGCAGTGGTCAAGACAGCGGGCTGGTACAGTACAGCGACAGATGGTGGGCAGCGTTGAGGTAGGCTCCTATAGTTTCTGTGATAACTTACTGAGGACGAAATACTCGCCAGCTGTGCTTTGTGGACCTGAGCTGCACAATGTGATTAGGCTTATTAATAAAACATTGAGTCTGCTTGGTGGTTTCACTGACACATTCATAATCATTACCTCTTTTGCTGGGACCTGCTTCGTGATGCTAATAATTCTAATTTAAAGGCTCAGTATTAGCTGCAGGTTTGCGTTTCTCTATAATGTAGCACAGTGTTTACAATGTTAGCCTGCTTATAACATTCTTTGTTATTTTCTGAGGGTAAAAAAAACAACAACATTCGACATGGAAAGCTGACAAGGGGCAACTCTACAAAAAACTACACCAGGTATGTTACCTCTCTCTGCAGCTGGCTGACTGTTGCTGTGAGATTTAGCATCAGTTTCGTGACGTTCTCCAACTGGCTCTGCAGGATCTGGATGGACTCAGTCTGTTTCTGGTCCTAAAAATAGACACAGAAGGAACAAGCCACAACTGTTGTTTAGTCGTCTGTCACAAATATAAATGCAGCTTACAACTGTTTGTGGGTTAGCTTCTTTTCTATTAATTAAGTTATAGCAACCTGCTCCTCAGCGATGCGGGAAGTGTTCTGCAGCTTGATGATGGTCTTATTGAACGCTTTCTGCATCTCTTCCATCTGTTTACGATACCTGGAGAACACAGATGCAAAATCACAGCTAATAAGAATGTCTCCCACGTATAAAAAGGTTAAAAACAATTAGATTTGTGGCTTTACTTTCCTTAGCAATATGTTAAAAGAAGTATAATGCATTTTGTTACTAGACAGATGTAAGGTTTATTGTGTCTGGGGGTTTTACCTCTGGCTGAGCTCTTCCAGGTATCTGCTGGAAAGGCTCATGTTCATCTCCAGAGCTTTGATCCTGTTGTTCAGCCTCATGAACACACTCTCCTTCTGGCTGGAGCCGTGAACAGCTCCTCCATTCAGTAACACGCTGTTCCCGTTTACCGCTCCGCCATTATAATCTCCACCGTTCTGCAGCTCTGCGTAGAAGTCTGTAGCAGTTCGGTGGATGTTGCCATTCCCATTAGTGCTTAACAAGAACTCTTCCACTGTGTCTTCCACCCGATGAGGCTCTACTGTCTGAGAGAGAGCGTCCCCCTGCTCCCCGTGGATCTGAGGAGCCTGAGCACTTTGTCTCTGCGAGTCCCCGCTGTCTGTGCCTGACTTAACTGTGTCTGTCTGAGTGTCAGTCGGTGGGACAGCTGCTGGCAGTTCAGTGGGAGGGGGGATGAGGTCTTCAGGCCTTGTTGCAGTGGGAAGAGGCTGAACAGGCTGCTCTTTAAGAGAGGGAACCACAACACCGGGAGATGCCGTCTCGGACGACAGAGGTTGCTGGGGAGTGCTGATTGAAAGAGTCGGGGTGGCACTGCTGGCCAGCTGTGTCTCTGGGATAGAGCCAGCTTGGAGAGGGGGAGTCGGGAGAGGGTCCAGGGCTGCGTCTTTAACTGGAGGTAACAGCATCTCCTCGTGGGTCGGGGTAGGTCGGGTCAGGGAGCTTTGGATGTCTGAGAAACTGTGAGGGGGGATGGTGGCGGTTCTACTAGGCTCTAGGAGGATGTTGAGCTCTGGAGTGTGTGCATCAGGTGTGTGAATGTTGAGATCTGCATCAGTGGTGTGCACCTCACCGACAGGCTTCCCCTCATTTTGGCCCTTAACAGACACCTCGGGTTCTGGAGCTTTTTCTGTGAAAGGAAGGGCTTCTTGTTGAGGTGTTGGGGAAGGAGCAGAGATCAGTGGAGGAGTGTGTGTGAGGGCAGGGGTGGTAACTGCAGGATCAGTCTGTGTTTGAGAGCTAAGGTGCCTCCTCTTAAGGCTACGCAGTCTCTCCTTGGCCAGCCGGGCGGAGCACCAGCGATGGAGCAGCTCGGGCAGGGTGGCCATGCAGGACAGAGACAGGGAGGAGAATGAGAAGAAAGGACAGTATGTCTGGCTCTCCCACTGGTTCCTGTCTGCCTCCCTCCTGGTTTCCTCCTCCCTCTTCTCTTCCTCCTCCTCTCCCTCCTCCTCCATTAGAGTGACAGTCGACTGTCTGGGCTCTTCTTCCTCCTCCTCCTCAACCAGAGTGACAATCTGTCTATCCTCATCGGAGTCAGATGATGAGGGGGAAGATGTGGAAGAGTCGCCGGAGACGGATGAGTCTTCCTCAGTCGCAGCTTGTTCTGGCTTTGCAGGCTCCAGTCTGAGGGAAGAACATGGTTGCAAATATTTACATTTAGTGTCCTATTAGAAGAAAAGCAATTCAAGCAAAACAGCAAACATACTTGTAGCTTAACTTTAACTCATTTACACAATTTAGACTAAAAAAGCTTTATTTGTCTTTTATTGCTCTTACACTGCAGAGTCACGTGGGGCTTCGGCTGGTTTAGCTTTAGCGTCTGTGTTCCCCGTCTTTTCATTCCCCTCTGCTGTTGTGTTACCTGAGATTTGGACAAATGTGCAAAAATTAACAAACAGGACACTGACAATACATAGGCATTGTTTATGATTGCACAGAAACACATAAAGGCCAATTCATGCTTTTCGTGTTCATTGGTCTGCAAGTGTCTGCATAATGTAAATGTTGTCATCTATTCAAATCCGCAAGGGTCTGCACAGCAAGATTTGTTATTATCCACACCTTTACATTTCATCAGTGTAATAGTTGTAATCTAAGTACTTGCTGCCGGACTTTGGAGGAGCTTTGATTTGTACATGTTTTCTATCAAAACAGAGCGGGCCATTCTAAATTCTCCAGATATCCTGTGCCATGTCTGCCCAATGTGCTTGGAACGCCTCAGGAATAATTACATTGACACAGAGTTGCAGTCCAATTCTGTAACCAGCTGCTACATCCTGGAAAAAGTACAAAGTCACAGCCAGACTTCCAGAAACATCCACAGGAACCTTGTGTATTATTCTATGTTTGATAAAAGGGAAAATATGACAGTCTATATAGCTATTGTAGCATGAATAGAGTCGCTGTCTGGATCATCACTGCATGGGGATGAAGAAACCATGAATTGGCCTCAACTTGGCATGTCGCCCCCCGCCAATACTGTGCTGCTGTAAGAGGCACAGTGAAGATAGACAGTCCACTGTGTGGCTGGAACGCCCATGTTTGGGGAGAAGGAGAAATACTGAGAACCAGTCTGGTCCAGTTAGAACCGATCTCTCTCCTACAGTGGTTCTCTCTCTGCGGGTGTAAATGGGAATCAGACGTGTACAGTTACTCTAGAGAGCTTGCAGGAAAAGTTTTTGCTCCTTGTGCATTAAATGCAAGACTCCCATTTAAATAAATTACAATGCTTTTTTAGGAGATACAGTGTCTACAAATGTATGCTCCCACATGAATGTTAGTTAGTAGTTTAAAGAGATGTGTAAAAATTAACTGTAAAACTAGTTGAAATCAGATTAGATTTCCTTTAAGTCAATCCCACTGGAGAAAAAGCTGAGTAAAGAGAGACATTTTTTGATGCAACTCTCAGTGTGGTTAACAAAACTACGAAAAGGCTTTGCGTCACAGGCCCCCCTCTCAGTCCCAATTTAGCCGAGTTTTCTGCCAAGAAGTGAAACACAGATAGACAAAGTTCCGCTAAAATGCTGCAGGAGGTCTCCTGCCAAGAGCCAAATAAACATCTGGCTCCCTCACCACATATACACCAGAATATTCAGGCTATGCATATGCTTGCACTTTGGAGAAGCAAATAAAATGACCCAGTTTTCAAAGCAGTTAATCTAAACAACATGTGGGCAGACAGACAGGACGCTGGTTGGAGACAAAGAAAGGGAGAGAAAAGGAAGAGTGTAAGTGTATGTATGGAGAGTGTAGGCAAAGAGAAACAGTATTTTAGTGTTCTATATAAAGCTGGAAATTATTTTAAATTATTTAGGGAAAAAAAGTACATTTTAATGTAACTTCCCAATAGTGTGTCTGCAGAAGAAGCTGAAACATGTCTGAGATCATAGCTGTTCATTTGCAAAACATGTTTTCAGCTCATTTTATTGCATTTTCTTCATATTATTGACCTCCACCTCCACCAGAACTAAAATGCATCATTTACATGTTCGTTACTGCAGTTTCCATTGTCAAAAACAGAATGTGTAAAAAAACTGATTAATGGAAACCTACTTCATGCCACCTATTATTTAGGTAGTAGAGTTACCGGGTCACTTGTAACTGGGTCACCAATTACATAATCAATAACATAATTTATTGGTGACTCAATTACAAGTGCACCTTAAGGACAAGTACATAATTGGCATCAAAACTGGATGGGCAAATCATGCTGTATGATCTCAGTTTCTGATCTTGTTGATTCATAAACAATGGATTCATTCATATGGATAAACCAGTTATCATGCTGCCTCTAGATAGGGTGCGGTTGTTCAAAGAGAGCTCAAGTGAATGCATGTCAGGGCCTTAACTGTCGAACAAAACAGAATGCGTAAAGGAGCTGAGTCAATAACGTCATAGCTTTGACTTTAATTAGGACGCGACTCTTTCTATGAAAACTGCAGTCATGTAAGCAGCTTGCACAACATCAGTGCTGCGGTATTTTTACAAGTTCACCTCACCCACAGAAGATATTATCAGTGGGTAGAAGTTACTGGAAAAAGTTTAGTAAACTCAGCATGTAGCAGTTTCTTGTGCTTACTGCAGTTCAGTAACACATTTGTTTCTCCTTCAAAGTACAAAGAAGGGAATAATGGAAATCAAAGTTAGCTGGCTGGAGTACGTGAAGTCAAACTTTTGTAAAAGATGTACGAGGTGTGTCAGAAACACACAGATATAATTCAAACTCAAACTACAAACTACAAGTTTTCCCCTTGGTAGTAATCCCCCTGGAGTCTAACACACTTCCCCAGCCTTCTCTGCCTCGCTGCCATGCACTCCTGGAAGGATTCTTCCGGGATCCTCTGCAGCTCCGTTGTCACAGCCATCTTGATGTCGTCCACGTCTTCAAAACGAATCCCCTTGATGAGCCATTGAGCTTGGGGATAAGAAAAAATCCCATGGAGCCAGGTGGGGTGAGTAGGGAGGTTGCTCCAGCACGGCGATGTTCTTCTCAGCCAGGAACTGTTGGATGCCCAGGGCATTGTGAGCAGGTGCGTTGTCATGGTGAAGCAGCCACCACTTGTCCTACAACAACTCTCGCCTCTTCTCACGCACTGAACGAAGAAAAACGCTGCAGGATCTCCTTGCAGACGTGCTGGTTGATCGTCTGAAGGGGAAAACTCGTAGTTTGTAGTTTGCGTTTGAAATATATCTTTTGTGACACCAGTCCTGGAACTTTTCTGACACACCTCGTACCTCTTCCACACAAAAACGGTTAAACTAATGCTGGCACAAATTAAACCAACTACTAAGTTACGAGAATGTCTTTATTTGTTATTGTGCTAATCCATCAAGAATGGTGATAAAACTCTGGAGACCACAGCAGTAACACTTATGTCAGGCTTTTGTTGTTGTATATTTAGTATCTATAGTGATTTAATGAACACATGGCAGATCAATTAATTGCATAAAACAAAAAAAGAGGTAACAGCCTCAGACACTTACGAAAGCAAGACAGCTGAAAATGTTTGAAAAAAAGCACAACGTGCTGCAGGAAATGTTGTGTGTGTAGAATGTTAAGAAAGGATTCAGTTGGAAAATCAGAAAAGTGTGCATCTAAAAGAGAGCATTGTGTTTGAGGGATGAGTACCTCCTGATTCTGCTCCACCCTCCAGCTCTGGCTTTCCACCAAGCACGTTAGCAGCAATGTTGTTTACCATGTTTAGGATGGCATCTGAAAGAAAGGAGCACACACACACACACACACACACACACACACACACAATACAATCAATCTGTGTTGACATGAGGTTTCTGACAGACAGCAGCTTGAGGCCAAACACATATCAAACAAACCGCAAGCTTTTTTTTTGCATTTCTCCGTTACTATCCGTTATGATGATGCTGTTCGGCTGAAGGTTTAATTCCCCTACTTTACTTTTCCTCCAGGCTTTCCCACCTTGTGGGCCTATTTGGCCCAACTAAAGAAAAAACTCTTTGACCCTGTGCTGTGGGTTAGAACCCTGAAGATTTATGTGCACACTATGCTTAGAGGGGGGTGCACCAGTCCTCCCTTTGCTAATTCAGGAGACAGAGGGGCACCAATGTATTTGTGCATGTGTGTGGTTTAAGGAAAAAACAAAAAGCAGAGCACCAAAATTTCCGCAAGCAAAAAATCTCAGCCTTTGGGTATGAGTGACACAAATACCGAGGACATGTTAAACGGTGCCCTACTAAAGTGAGTCCATATCTAACTGAGCCCTGGAAACTACTGGTGTTTGCTTGGGCTGCTGTGCCAACAACTGTATGGAGTCTCATCTGCTTGGAAACTTGTGGGTTCTTCATGTAGATAAAAAAAAGCATAAAAAATATATTTGCCTATCTTTTGTTTATCTATTGTTGTTTACGTTACACTTCAGTCTAAAGTTACCCAAGTGTATGAAGACTGTTTCCGATTGTATCCCTTTTCATTCATCCATCCATTATCTGCACCGCTTAATCCTCACTAGGGTCGCGGGGGGCTGGAGTCTATCCCAGCCGACTCAGGGTGAAGGTAGGGGACACCCTGGACAGGTCACCAGTCTATCACAGGGCTACACTTAGAGACAGACAACCAAGCACACTCACATTCACACCTACGGACAATTTAGAATCACCAATTAACCTCAACATGTTTTTGGACTGTGTGGGAGGAAGCCGGAGAACCCGGAGAGAACCCACACTGCACGAGGAGAAACATGGAAACTCCACGGTGCCCCCACCGGGATGCAAACCGGCAACCTTCTTGCTGCGAGGCAATGGTGCTAACCAACTGCGCCACCCTGCACCCCTCATTCAACCTTCATTTAAACTTATCACATATTGAGCTACAGAAGCCTCCTTTACAGTTTTCAGGAAACTGCAGGCTGTGTTAATGCAGAGCAACAAAAAAAAATCAACTAATGCAATCAAAATAGATGCAGCATGGTTCAAAAATGGCATACAGGAGAGTAAGTTGTCAGCAAGTTGTTATAGGATACATTCAGTGTGTGCTAATGTGTTGAATAGAGTACAAAAATAAAAACATCTAGTTTGAGGTAGAATAAATGAAAACATGCCTAGTAAAAAAAAAAAGCCTCTCTGTAGGATGTAATTCGAATTATCACAGCTGAGGCATGTATGTATAAAGTGTCACCACAATCTAATACCTACAGAACGTTGCCTTAATAAGCTTCTTTCTACAAAGCAGTGGAAAACATGATTTATTTCTGTAAAAGAAACCAAGTCTTTGTCTTGACTCAGTCACAAGTTTGGTTACGTGATATTTATACGCCAGCATGTCATCAATCTAAATTCCAAGACTTGTGTACTGTTTGACTCTTTCCACTTTTAGTACAGATGACAAGATTATTATAACCGAAGATAAAGTCGTTATGCAAACCAAGCCTTACGCTGCTAATATCAACTGCATTGTTGTGGCATGTTTGCTGCCATTTGGTCTTTTACAAAGTAGCTGCATAAGCATGTGTGTGGGTCTACGTACTGGTTGCTGAACCAAGCAGGTTTTTAGAGGCCTTGTCCTCTGACGGTTGGTAGCCAGGAGGATAGTCTAAAGAGGAAGACAGAGTAGGTTATATCTGACAAAAATACATGCATTCACTAAAAAGTTCACACATTTAAATTAGGTCAAGTTCAACTGAAAACAACCGGAAGACACGGACGAAGGAAAACTCTGCAGCAAAAGGTCAGTGGATGTTAATAGTTGACTCTAGCTCCAAGGTGTTTGGTAACTGATTTAGGGAGCAAGAATGTAATTTGACTCTTTCCTCTGGGTACTTTGTATTCTAACGATTTTAAGTGCATGTATTGTTTTGCAGAGTGAGGCCGCCCAGTTATATTTCAATTTACAGATGCACTCGTCTTCTCTTGTTAGCTGAACAAACATTTGCAGCCAGTGTTGCCGAAAAAGAAGCCACACAGCACATCGCTATTCTTACCATAGTCTTCATCCAAGTACTCCAGTCTCTCTGAGGGGTACTGGGAATCTGCTATCTCCTCATACTCCTCCACCATGCTGGTACCAAACACCCTACACAAAACACACACAAATACCTTGTTACACAAACAAACATACCTACAGAAAAGGTTATAGGTTGGAATTACCACACAGCAGAGGCAGTGGAGTCATTTGTTGCGATACTGTTGCTCTATAAAACATTCCTCTTAGATCATACACTAAAAAATCCACTAAATTAAACATGTCGCATATTCCAAGTGATGTGTGTAATTGCAAAAACTCTATCCAAGGTAAGTGAACACATATGGAATCTCATGGTTCATTTGTAGTATTTGTTGTGGTTAAGCTCTAGGAAAGGGCTGCTGACCTCCTTGTGAAACACGACTGCAGAGTTTTACAGCCTCTTTAACCCCCAACAGCAGAAAACGTCCCAGATGACCGTGAGGACAAACGTGTGCGCACTTGTGTCTGAGTAAAAATAGAGCTCTGTGCCTCTAAAAGCAGGAGGAACCCTTATGTTTTGAGTTAGACTACACACACACTACTATAACAAAATAAAGCCAAAAAGAATCATTTCTACTTTACTGCTACTACTAGTTACTTAATGCAGTTAATCTAATGACTGGCAAGAATCATCCTAGAGTAGCTCCAGGCACTTTAGTTTTGTAACCACTTTTGGGATTTGCCGCAGGCAACAACGAAAAAAGGTTTGAAATGACATTGAAAAGGATCGCAGTTATGATCGGGTTTTTAAAGTATCCCGTTTCTGTGTAAACATCCCCCATTTTTAATATTGCAATTTCAGAAACACGAATAAGCCCTTATCAGAGATTTGAATAAATCCATTATGCTAGCTGGAGAACTTACTCTTACTCTGTTGGCAGCCATTAAAGTATGTTGTACTCATACAGGCATTGTCTATCTACTCAGAGTCAGTGAACTCAAGCAGACATTAGTGTTTATCATGTATACGTGCATATGAACACCCAGATTTCTCCATGCTCCATGTAAACAACATATCCCAAATATAATCAGAGCAGTGATCAGCCTTATAACCTGGATTCTACTATGCATGTTAACACAAACAATGAGAGAGTGATCACCTAAAAAAGCAATTCAATTTTTTGGATAATCTATTAGCACCAGGCTATTTAAGATACTGCACAGCTCCTAGCTACAATTTGGTGTAAACTCTGACACTGAAGTCACCATTCTGGATGACAAAACATTTTCACCAGTGTAAAATCACATTTAAGTGACTATCTGAAACCTGGTTTGTCAATTATGGCTGAAATACAGCAGCAAGTGGTCTAAAGCATCGATACTGGAAGTAAAGAAGCAGTAACTTAAAGGTTCTACCTAAGGTAAGCAGTGGAACTGAAAGGCAAGAGGCTGTAAAAGAATATGTAATCTCACAAATAAATGAAGGAAACTGTAACTGTTTATTTTTTTCCACATATCTGTATATGTGTGTTGGCCATTTCTGGGGTCTTTCCAAGTCCTCAGCCTGGACTAAATTGGCTTACGTTGTCCTCATTGCTCCATACTGTCATGAAACTCAAGAATCCAGCATGTTTTCATGGATCTTACCTGATGAGACTGAGGGGGCAGAAGTGTTCTGATCCAAAGTGAGAGAGGAGTTCAACCTGTAGGAGGGAGAACACACAAATTGTTAAACCGAAAGTATCACCAACAGATTAACAACATTATCAATCCACAAAATGTATACAAGAAGTGCCCACGTCGTAAACCCATAATCCACCAAATAAATAGTAGAATTGCCGAGCTTTCACAATATAGCTTGCGTGCATGTCCTGCAACTTTCCCATGCATTAAAGATGATTCTCTGCTGAAGCTCACACAATACAGTGTACCACCATTATAAGAGTAGGTTTTTAAAGCGCATTGCAACCTCTGACAGAGAGAGGAGAAGAGTGCTAACCTTTATGTACTTGATGAACATCTGATGCGAGAGGAAGACAGGGACAGAAGGAGAGAGAAATAAAACAAGAAAAAGAAATCAGTAAAGACGGATTCAGGCTACAAGCAAGTCAAGAATCTGCGTACAGTTTAGATTTCTTACAAGACAAACATACTGCTGACATATGCTCAGTCGTGTTCTGTAACATTCCACAGGTGAGATACTAAAGAGATGTTTCTGATAGGCAGTTAGAAAAGGTGCACAAGCAAGACTGAGGAATCAACAAACAGACTTACAAGCTCAGAAAAGATACAAAACATCAGACGTAAACAGTTTTAGAATGCGTAGATTGAAAGCAGATGAAACCTTTAACAAAAAAATCGGATTATATAATAAAAACACAATTGCTTCTGAATAGAGCACATGAATCACAGGAAGCTCCCACACATAACACCCACGCTCATCTCATAAACAGGATAATTATCCGAGCATGAAACTGTTTAACAAGTCGACAGTGAATAATTAGCGAGCAAAGCTGAGTGTTGGAGTGCGAGAGGAGTGGCAGCTCAGAATAGCACTTTTCATTTATCACATCTACATATATTTAAATGAAGACAGCTAAATTTTGTATTAGGAACATCTCTGTTCCTGTTTTGTAAGAAAAATCAGCTTTCACAACAACTGAAACTTGGGATGCACTATGCATAATTTCGTTGGTCAGAAAGGGGAATACGCCTAATAATTATGATGAACAGCATGCTCAGCTTCAGGCAGGCAAAAGAGAAATTATGTCTCTCAAAGAACAACGTGTACTGTTTATTCATTTCAAGCTGAAAGGAGACTGATATGTGTGAAATTGTGGACAGAGAGATGCATGCAGCAATGACTAAACTCTGCAGTCAGAGTAGGAGAGATTTATGAGAAATACAAACACTGGTTGTAACCTTGATAAACTGGACTGTAAAATAAAAGCCTCACTGAAGGCTATCTTTAAGGTAGCTGGTTTCTTTATGTCTCTTACTCATACCTGTGACACTACTGATCCTACATTCAGTGGTAAAAATCTAATGTTTAAGAATCTAAATGAAACTTCGAGGGAACCACTGTAAGCGACTTCAGCAGGCAGCAAACAACCATAATCCTTGAACGTCACACATTATGTGATTTAATATCCTGTAACTACAACACACCCAAATCTTAAATATAATCAAACGTAATTTGTATTTGCCTTTTAGTTCTCACAACTGAAACTCTGTCACACCCTGAGAGTCACCATTCTTCACACATTTAAAGGAGGGGTTACAGTCAGCCCTGGTGACATGGCTAACTCACCATGAAGTCATAAGAGGGTCCCCAGAGCTTAAAAAACCACTTCAACTCATATGTATAAAGGGCTGTGTGTGTAAATGCTACTGACAATGAATGAAGTCATTGTTCATTCTTTCTTTTTTTTAACCCTTGTTATACAACAGTAGCTGCAAGAAAACAGGAGTACCTTGACATATTTAGCGTAAAGCTGTTCATCCAGCGGGAAACTCTGGACTATCCGCTCATCACGGGCGTGGAAAGTACCCAGCTTTACCCACTTGTTGGTGGGATATCTGCAAACAGAGCAAGGGAGAAGTAAGATATGAGTGGCTGAGGGCCATGGATTACTTCAAACATGTTCTCACAGGGTGGTTGCAAATGTCACTGTTTTTATTGTGACTGGAGGTCTGTCATTCCAGGTCCAGGGTTGGAATTTATTTATGAGATGTGGTTCGAGATAATGCTTGAATTAAATCACAAGGTTGAATTCTTTAACAAATGCAACTTCAGCTCTGACTGCACTAAAGTTAGAAGTGATAATACAGGAGGAAGAAGATGATCTTAAGTAGTGCTGGCCTTGTGGACAGCAGTGGAATGAAGTTACATAGTGCTGCTTGAGGATGTGTATGTGCACCAACTGAAGATAATCTAAGAATGAAAATGCAAGGCTGCGGGAATGTGTACGAGTGCGTCAAAACATTTCTATAGGTTGCACCAGTGCGCCTCACATATGAGTGGGGCCTGAGTGGGGACTAGAGGCTTCTCTGTGCCCAGCAGCCAAACAACGTCCACCAATGCTTAAGAAAACAACTTGGGTTACACTCCCCCTCTATATATTGCATTAGCCTCTGCATGGGGCCTCTATATTTCAAACTGAAGCAAGAAAGTCGAGCTGTGCCGTGACACTGAGCAGCCCCTTACCACTGTATTTCAGGGCCAGGCAGCAGCAAACTGAAGCAGAGACAATAAACTTGTCACTGCTTATATTATAGCCACAGGAAAGCTACCATGTATTATCTTTATCTGCACCTTTATTGCTGGTTACGATCTCTTACATCACAGTGTAAGAAACTAACAAGCTAACAAAACAGTTAACGCTTTACACATACCATTGCAACAGATGTATAAAGTTAGTGTGGAGTCCCTGAAACGAGTGACCTTTTTCATTTAAAAACTCATCACACCGAAAAAGCAACTGGCAGTCATAAAGTAGCTAATTTGCTGGCATTTATATAATCACATAAGGAGTGAAATGTCAAACGCTAAGCACTTTATGAAGCTTTTACTTCAAAGATGCATTAATCCGTTCTCCTCAGACACTACTTGTTAATCATTCCCAGGTGATAATGAATTTAAAAAAAATATGGAAATTTGGATTGAATGTCCACACATACTGCAGTAAAGCCTAACGCCGGGCTTTGTGTTTGCCCACTACACAGTGAGTGTTGTTTAAGTATATGCCACCTTATGGGAGATGTATGTGAGTATACCTGTCACTGATAGAGACTAGAAAGTCTTTAGGTGTCGACGAGAAGAGCTCAAAGTTAGCGATATCCAGCTGCTTGACTTGAATGGGCTCACAGAGCTCTATCACAAACCTGGAGAGAGGCAACAACAGAAAGTATAAATGGAGGATAAACTCAAATAAAAGTTGCATATCAACAATCTGACTTTACGCTGGCACCCACCAGATTTTGTTGCTGCATGGATTTAGCATGTAAAGGTCCATATTCTCCATGAGAATAGCTGAAGTGCTCTGCAAAAAAGAGAGAATACTCAATTAACATCCACCACCACCAACATCACATTTTCACTTTATTTTATTCAGTGACAATGTTTTCTTCTGGCTCAGAATGGGGTTTCAATAAGGATTGGTCCCCATACAGTAAAATGCATTACGTTTGTTGTCTTATTTGACAGAAACATGTAGTTTTATGTTATTTCTGACTGATGAGCAAAAATGTCTACGATCCTGGAGCAAATGAAGCCCCAATTAACAAAATCTGCTAAAAACTATATATAGAGATGTTTTTATTCACAATTCTTATTATTTTACTGCTTATAACTTTCCTTCAGTGCTAGCTCAACCTCTTTGGGGGTGCACCAAAAATTCCTATACAGAGTTAAAACTCAGTTATAATACATAACAGCCAAATGCATTAAACTTTGTTTTATGTGCAACTGAACATCTGTCCTTTGTTCAGCTTAAATGCCAAGCTTAAATGTAAAAAACGATTATACAGCAGGTCTCATCCATCTGCTGATACAAAATGACAGCATGTCGTCTGTATACTTGTGTGTTTGTGTGCAGGCAACAGCGGACAGTGATGATGGGTGTTTAACCTTGGCCTCGGTGTTGGCAGAGAGTATCTTGGCACCACACTCCACAGAAGCGTAGTTATTCTTGAAGTTTTTCTGGACCTTCTTTACTGGATGGGGGACGCCGGTGGTTGAGGTATGGAGAGACTGACCTGCACAGAGGGAGCGTTACATTAGGCCCAGTAGACATCATGGAAAAAAAAAGAGCATTGCCTGAGAGGAACATGGTTACGCAACATACACACACACACACAAAACCACACGGTCCACTGACCACTGCACATGGCGTGCACAGCTAGAGAAGGAGAGAGATGAAGAGAGCGACAGACAGGAATAGAACATAAGGAAGGAAGTTACAGAGAAAAGACAGAGTTAGACAATGTGCAAAAAAGTCGTAGTAGGGAGAACAAAGACGTGACAAAATGAGACGTGGATTAAGACTGACATGTGAGGCCTCTTTTGTCGACAAAGGCAGCGCTGCAAACTGTGCCTGTGTCATGAAGTAATATTAACATCACACGATTTTTGCGTTCTTGCTCGACCAGAAGCATCTGACCTTGAAACCAAACTTAATGGGACGCTGCACTTAGTTGCTGATGTGATATCGTCCCTTCCAGTGATGCATGTGTATCTAAATGTGTGTTTTAATAATGTATGCACTTACTTTTCTCTTTCTCCACCTTCATGACTTGCTTCTTCCACTCATCGAAAGTGGGGATGTCCTCTTTGCTGGGCACCGAGGGATCATTGACAACGTTGGCCTCCCCAGTCTGAAAGAAACACGGGTCCAGATTTCAATGTTGTAACTACAATCACTTTCCTAATATGTTTACGAGGAGGGGTACGGAGGGTATTTAATCTTAAATTGCTGTAGAGAATATGACTAACTAAGAAGGTTTCTTGGCATCAGTGACTTATTGTGAGTTACGTTCCATTACTGATGACACAAAAGCTTAGTGTGGGGTTGAACAATTACGAGACTCCCATCTGCAGCTCCTGGTAGTCAGTGAGCCCGTGGCCACTACAGCATTCAAACGCATTGGGCTGTGAATAATATTTTGATGGATTATATAAGCGCCCTTTTGGACCTCACAAGAGAGTCTGAGCCTAAAAGTCCACAGACTCAGACAGCCTCTTATGTAAACAGCCCCAACAGCCCAACAAGAGTCAATGCCAACAACATACAGATTAGTCATCAGATCTTAGTTCTAAATAAGCAAAACAATGTAGAAATACATTCATGGACACAATGCCCCTGAAAAGAAGTAGTTCCCCCTCGGGTACACTCGTCTTTCATCATCCTTCAACCATGAAAACACAACTGAAAGCAGGTTGACTCAGAATTTGCAGTTTGAAACATTCAAAGGCTGTCCTTCGCTAGGACAGATGTGTACACTGAATATTTATAACCATCATCTAGTCAGCAGTTGGAAGGAGGTTTTGTCTGTATGGACAGATGGACTGACCAGCTGATCCACAGCACCTTCAGGTCACTAATTATATTTTTATTCCACTGAAGTGTTGGTCTGCAGCAGATGCTCTAAAAGTCTTTCTATTTTTTTTTTTTTTTTTTTTGCAGGATCACGTTTCAGTCAATTATGTCACCTGAACCACGTATGTTGACTGTTATTCAAAGTGTTTTTCCACCACCTGCCCAACAGTCAAATTTTCCATCATGATACACGCAGCTCTGTAATGTGTCTGCTCATACATGACTCCTGAAAACACTCCCATTTATTTCAAATTCCATATTATATTTCTACTTTTTTCAAGCTGCATTTACTGTTTCTACTTATTGCTAAAACATTTTTGCTTTTTCATAATTCACTTAAAATTCTACTTCCCCAATAAATTTATAATGCACAGATACATGTGACAAATAGGTGCGAAAAACAAGCTGCCAACCTGCTGTTCTTGGTGGGGGTGGGAGGCATTGCCCTCCTGTTCCAAACCATCCTCCAACTCCTGGCGCCGTTGTTGTTGTTGTTGTTGTTCCTGGTCCACTAGGACTGGAGTGGACTGAACTTCTGCTTCTGGACCAGAACTGTGCTTCTGGTCTGACCGCTGGTCCTCTATGACAGCCTCATCCACACTACATCACAGAGAGGGAAGGAATGAGGATAAAAAAAAGAAAACAAATAAGTACACAGCAATATTGCACACATGATGCAAAAAAACCAAATATTTATTCAGTTTATTTGAGAGTTTTGACAGTCCTTGGTTGGAGCAGGCAAAACAAGGGAAAAGAGAAATAAAAAAAAAATTTAAAAAGCAGAAGTAAGTGGAGAGCAAGGCCAGCGGTCGACGGTTGCGCACGGCAGAGAGGTGTAGCTTGTACCTTGTTAACTTGTCTCTGTGCTTTGATTGGCTTCCTGTGGTTTGAAACTCACCTGAAGAGAGGGCTGCCAAAAGGGGAGTTTTCACAGGTTGCCAGTTCGGGGGGAATGACCCCGCACTGTGAATCAGAGTGCTCAGCAAAGACAAAGCTGTCTACTGGGAGTTCATCTCCTGCACTGGCAACCCACACTGCACTGAGGGGAAAGAAAGGACATGGCGTTTACCACACCTCCTTACACTGGGGAGGGTAGAGACAGGAGGATGGGGAAGGAGAGATGAGGGGATGGGGACAAGGAAGAGGAGATAAATGACACAGAGGAGGAGAGAGAAGGCCAGAGAGAGAAAGAGTAGAGAGAGAGATAGATGGACAAAAGGGATGGAGAGGTTGCTCGCTGGTGAGGCAGTTGATGTGCACGTCCTGAAATGTCGAAATGTCCTGGTGCCGAATACAAAAGACGCCATGGGATGAAGGTATTCTTCTTGATGTTTCAATCCAGGCGGAGGAAATCTAAACTAATCTTGGTCAAAGTTTCCATGTCCATACAGGTGCTTCTTCGCAGTGTTCTTGTATTTCCATTGCATTTCATTAAAAAAAATCCCTGTGTATGAGCAGTCCCATGTGACTTTACAACGCCGACCACCAGCTCCATGAACAGTGACTTTGAAATATCCAGGAATCACCTCATCTCTTTCAGTTTGTGTTCAGTCATTTTAAAAATGAATTAGAAAACAAATTTGAAATAAAACAGACAACTGAGGGAAACAAAAGTGAACCAACAAAAATATCAAAGAAAATGTGCACGAGAAGAGTTTATAACTAATATTACACCTGAATTGTACAGAAATTGGCTTTAACCATTATAAGAAGAGCATGCAATATATTTTTCTATGATCAGAATTTTAGTTCTCCAATGTGACTTCTTTGTGGTTATAGCCAACTTCCAATGCCAGAGAGCAGGTCTCTGGAGTGCTGAAGTGAAACTGAGCTTACCCTGTGTGGGTCGGGCCTGCACTCTGTGAGGTAGGTGAGTTTTCAGCTTCATCTGGGGATGTGGCTGGGTTTGAGTCCAGGCTTGGATTTGCAGCATGGGCATCACTGGAGGTCTCTGCTAGGGTTGGGGCATCTGTGGACACTTGGCCCTGTGCTAGAACTGGTTCTGGAGATGGGGACACTGGAGCTTCCTGGTCATGGTCCTGGGTGAGAGTCTGCAGGTCCAAGTCAGTCTGGGGTTCTGGGGTAGGTTCTGGCTCAGGAGCAACGGGTACAGTATCTGACTCGGGGTCTGACCTCGTCTCTTCCACCTCGGGTTCCTGTGGATTCACAGTCTGGTGACAGAAAACACAGAAATGCTCACATACGTGTGTCATTTTCTGATGTAGCTCCAATGTTGTCCTGATAGAAACTAGTTTAGGGAAGTGAGAGCAGTTTTAGTGAGAACATTTTATCTGCATTATTTGTGTTTTTACACATGGTTAAAGACCAGTTTTCCTTGTTTCCATTTTTCTGTTTGGGTGTACTTTCCAATTTATTAGGTCAAGCTATAACTGACAGCCTTCCTTTACATTTGTGCAGGGTTTGATTAAAAAAAAAACAAAAAAAACTGGCAACTTAAAATGCCCTAACGTCTGCTTCAGACTACATCTCAGTTGACTATTCACTATTCTGCCTGAAATTAAATGTTTTGATCAGCTTTACATACTTCTGTATATTGTAATTACAATTTTGTAAATACTGCAAATACACAGTCTGGACGTCTTTCAGGAACCGGTCGTTGTCAGTTGTTACCTGTTCATGGTGTATGTTCTGTTCTGCTAGCTTCTCTAGCGCTGCTCTCTCTGTCTCTAATCCCATATCGTATGATGTATGTGTCGCCCATTCTTCCACCACCTAGGGGGGGAAAAAAAACTCACATAATTACAGTCCTGAATGGGAACTTCAAACAATAACAAAACAATTACAGTTCAAGAAATATCATTGCATTACAACATACAACCGTTGCAGCACAAGTCCAATTCTTTGCAGGACATTTTTATTCCTGTTTATTTTAAAGATGCATTTACTTGTACAAATTTCAGACAAAAAAAAGGTCTTTGCATCTCAGGATGTGAAAAAGCCCTTTGTTGATGGACAAAGACCATGTTATAAGGCCAATGACAGACTGCCAGGCCTGCTGAACTGCCCTGGCACGCCTGTTTGATGCTGGACCTCGAACAATGATTCCCCTTCTTCTGTGCTCACAAACGCATACCAAAACACACTCACTTCCCCAAATTATCATTCATTCTAATGCTCATTTGCACGTAAACACACACACAACTTTAAGGGCCCATTCATAAGAACTAAGAGTATCTTATATTTGCCCCAAACCCAGCTCTGAGCCAGCATCAGCCCACTTCAGGCCTGCTTTTCTTGCAAGACCACTTCATGGTTCATCGTAAAAGCATGGAATGACCTCCACAGGCTTAAGATTATTCTGCAACAATGTCGAGTCACTAAGGTTACAGAAAAGACTGGAAAGCTGAGAATTATGAAAGCTTTTAGCCCTGAACTCTAACCCCGCAGGGCAGGTTCTAACCTGCATCACCACAACCTCTAAGACTCATTCAACAGAGAGGCTGACAACGCACAACTCGGCCAATATTTTTTTACTCAGCATTGCTTTTCACTATTTTTAAGGGTTTCAATTATCTCTAATAAATCAAGACATCTACATATCTGTCTAAGTGCTCTTCCTATATCTCAACTACCGTACATCCAATCTGCTGTAAACTCAGCCGGTGTATTGCTGGGTTCCCGAGGAAGTGCAGAGTATAATCTAAAGGTGTTTGGATAAATGGTGGCCACTTTGGGGGCCTTTATCTTGAGAAAACCTTTGGCTGCCTAAGACTAAGGCAGCTGTAGATAAGAGCTGCTTCAAACTTAATCGGTGTATTTCTGGGGACCCAAGGAGGTGCAGCGTCGAGTTTGAAGTAGATTGGACAAATGGGGTTTTGGGGGATCGAACTGCCAACCTTTTGGGAAGTGGACAACCCACTCTCCCCCTTGGCTCCGCTAGAGTCCAAGTGATGTAAATTTTCGCATCTTCCTAAGTCCGTGTGTGCCCATGTAGACTGACTGCGTATGTACAGAGCAGAGATCTCCCAGTAGACTCCAAGCCAGACTAGAAATTAGTATAACAACAACTGTCTGTAGCTGTCTGTGTGCACATCCACAAGGGAGTATAATAAAGCCTTGATGGGTAGAAGTAACAGTAATGAGGCGAAACAACTGATATGTTGCTATCCTCTTAAATAGCTTCCTAAGGTTGAACTTATAAGCACTTACATAATACCTTCCCCCTCTTGCCATCCAGCCTGACCCTGTAATCCAGGACCTCCCTGACCGTTCACTTCCAGCTCTCTAATGCTACACCTTCTTTCTGCATGCCTCCTACTTTTCATTAGAGGTTAGTGGGTCACTCAAGTGCATGACCCAACTCCAACCGCTACCCTGCATGTGTTCTGCTAACTCATACATTTCGCCACCAGCAGCGGGTCTAATAATACTGCTCACCATACCACAGCTGTGCCAGCAATGTTAACCACACTGAATGTTTAGTTTATTTCTGAAGTTGCCATTGACAAGGATTGTATAATTCATGAAGGAGTCGTGCACTACAGTTTCGACGCACCTTGTTTTGTGTGGAGTCCTGCTCCTGCTCGTGGCTGTCGGGGTCTTTGTCCTGGGCAGACCGACCTGGGCCAGACAAGCTCTGCTCTGAACAATACACATGTTGACTGGGGTACCTGAAACACAAACAGTTGAATATTTGTTAGTAGATGTGAAACTATCATCTTCATACAAAAAGTTAACATAGAAGTAGTTTCAGAAAACAGAATTAAAACCTTGAAATTATTTGTAAAACAAAGATTTGGTGTCAACAGCACAACAATGTTATAAGCAATAAGTGCCTTTCAATTCAAACAAAGGTAAGGCTGCACTACATCACATCCTCCACAGTGAGAGCACTTGGTTTCCTCAGGGGAGGGCCACTGACACGAGCTCTATGGATACAGGGCATGAAAGCATTGAGTGGAGGAGGGCAAAGAAGGCTGTAAGTGCAGGGACGAAAGCAGAAAGGCAAAGAGAGAGCTAGAACCAAAAAAAAAGGGTGTAAATTAAGTCTACAAAGAGAGACAGAAAGCAAGAGAAAGGCACAAAGCGAAGAAATCAGTGTGTATAACCAGCAAAATGAAATTCCACTCATTATGTGTGCTCCTACAAGTTGCTCAAGGCAAACTGCATTCTCAGATTCGCCTTCTCAACCCCCTCCTCCATTTGCTCTCTCCCTAGCTCCACTTTGCTTGTAAAAAAGGTTTAGCATGGCTCGGGATACTGCTGAAATTCTGTTAGCGGGCCTCCAAGTCAAGGCGTTCCACGGCCAACTGAGCCTGGAGCACAGATTAACCCACATTATCTCTTCCACACAACTGAGAGACTGTAAGAACTGCTGCTTTTCTGTGTGTGTTAATAATGAGTTGAGTGTACTGTCCTCAAAAAAAAAAACATAAAGAATTTTTATCATATGAACGTCAGATCTCATCAGCAGCACAGATTGAACTGAAAAAAAAAGGAGTGCAAATAGAGACAGAAAGGTTAAGAAATAATAAAATCCTTGGCTAATATTAGGCAGATAAGGTAAGAGATTTATAAAAACACAGAAGACATCAAGATGGAAACACAGGAATGAGAAGTTCAGCTGTTTCTTAGTTGGTTTCTTTATCAGTGGAATCAAAATGAAGTGAACTATGGAGCAAGAGGTTTGTCTAAACATGTTCTCCCTGCTTCCCTGTACACTGAAGTCCTTCTCCAGTAGTTGTTTAAATCCCTAAGAACTCATCTTATTACATTAAAGATACATATTTAAAGTTTTTTTTCCATTAAAATAATAACTTTCTACCTTAAAGTGTTACATCCTTCAGAATGTGCAGATGTATAATGTCCCTGTCTGTCTCTCCAGAACTTGTTCTCTTCAAACCAGAAATCAATTTTGAAAACTAAAAATGATACAAAAAGCTGCATCACACAAGTTAACCACATTGGCTTCTTATGTTTGTTACGTATGGAAGTGGTTTTAAGATTCTCATCAGCACTGACTGCTTATTTCACTCATGATATGTCTTCTACGTCGTTTTTATGAGAGGAGGTTTTAATTACTTTGAACTAATGTTGAGCTATTAGTCCAACGTGTTACACACAGTCAGATTGTGTTAAGCTGAAAGGTGCCAGAACCAAACAAAGACCTCTTCTTTCACTGGCCATTAGTCTGGCAAACAAAATTGGACACTAAATCAGTGTTAATGTAGATCAGACGCTCGCACAAGAGTTTCACACAGGTTCTATTACAGGAAACCACATTCACTGACATTTCTATTGCACATCTAATTAAACCAGAAGGTGTGTATATATCATGGAAGTAGCAACGCAAAGCTCAAACTTAGAGCATCATGACAACACCATGCATCGGTTACTGTCACATGGAGAGGCACAAAGACACAGCTTGGCTAGAAAGCACCATGTGAGCCTCAAACTAGAGCTGTTCCCCTCGAGAGCTCAAATATCAATGCTAGGAGGGAGGGAGGCACATGGACACTAATGTTAGCGCCCTGTCAACCCGGCTGTCAGGACGAAGGAGATGAGCAGCGGGCTTGCATGCTCACGAGCACAGAGACACAGCCATCTGTGCAAGTCGGTGTCCTGTCATTCAGAGAGCCTCTCCATCTTGACTCTGTTCATTAATATTTGAGGTGATGGAATGACGAGATAAAAGATGACAAGAACATCCGGCTAAGTGGAAGGATCATTTGAAAGCCGTGATGCGAAACACAGACAGATTTATGAACAGATGATGACTGAAAATGATAAGGTGTTAATTCCAATATTGAAGCTTCTTCTTCTATTCATTTTGAAATGGAATTCATCAAATTTATCGTAAAAGTTTTCATCTAGGAGTTATGGCTTACTGCTGAATCGACATGTTGTCTGGCTGCGCTGCAGAAAAAATTACTCAGAGTAGAGAAATTAATATATCTGCCTATTTCATGAAGGATTTATCCTTGTAGTGTTGTGTCTAGGACAAAGTCCTTGCTCTGCAATTCTGAAAGACAGCTGACTGTGATGCCAAGACATGACATTTACTGCTGTCCTTTTGGGTCCCCGCTGACAATGAAATATGGGCATGTTCCTATATGCGTTAACACCTCATAATATACGCATTCCCCGAAAGGGTTAATAGGAGTCACAAAGCCAGTGAACCTAAGAGTCACGTACTGTACAGATACTGAGGAGTAAACCTGAACCACGGCTAACGTAGGCTCCTGGCTAAACTTAGATCCATAGGTTTGAGCTATGTTGTGAGGCGTTTCAAATGTCTGCCCCATCCCCATCTACTCAAACGTGCACGGATGTACGGGGAGGACGTGTTACGTATATATCACTGAGGTTATGTAAGAGACTGCAATGTAAAACCCCTGTTGTTGCATCACTGATGATTAATAGCTTTATATTGGCATTTTTCTTGAATAAACAAAAACCTCTAAAAAAAAGAAAAGAAAAAAAACTGACCTCCAATGTCAAAGCAAAGTGAAATTTGGATTTACTGACTCATCACCAGCAAAATTAACAAAAGAAAACAACTCATTAAATTACATTACAGGTCAAGTCAGATCAACTCCTCGTCCTCAACAGGAAAAGTCTTGTCACACAAAACTCCCAGAGATCATAACTGTCTATGCTACCAAGTAGAAAAGCCATTTGCACCAACCTCAAATCAACATCGTGAAAACATCAATTTGACACAGCAACAAACACACCTCTTAGCTTCCTCTCAATTGCTGAATCAGCCACTTTGACACTATGCAAATTATTTATAACTTTCCTGCACATGGAAAGTGCACCCAACATGAGATATGCACACAGTTAGATGATAGAGGTTTGAACCCAGAGCGTTGCAGAGACAGCCACAGGAAACAATTAATAAGGGATGGATGCAGTAAAGACATCTTTTATTTATGCTTCTACCCATGTTTCATACTGATTCCAGGGCTTAAAGTGAAAAATAATCCTGAGCCTGAACTTTTTTGCTTTTGGGTGGGAGTACAATCTTGCAAATTAGTAAGACATTAAGATATCTGCCTTCCCAAACTCAGACTGCAGATTATAGTAATACCAAAGAAGGTCAATCGGTTGTGGTAGGTACTCCATCTGACTACAACATGGTGCAAATATATTGTTTAGCAACCAATCAGTAAAAGACATGGAAAAAGGACACTGATTCACCTTTTAACAATATGTGCACTATTTATTATCTCCGCCAAGGAGGTTTTCATCACTCCGTCAGCTTGTTATTAATGATATCAATGTTAACTCAAATGCTAAAGGTATGTTTTGATTCTCCATGAATCTAATAGTGTAGATAAAATGAACACAGGACTTTAACATTGGCTGGAAATCACAATATGGTGGAAATGAGCTGCTTGGTGGAGGTCTGCGCTTGTTCAGAGGGCTTTTCCAGTTTTGAAATACAATACTTCGTCAATATTCAATGAAAACACAAATCTTTTGAGGTTTTCAGAAAGACTTTTCTGAAACGCTGGTGCTATATCTCGTGCATTTATGTAACCAGCGTGCTGATTTGACACAAACAGTTTTGACAAAGCATTTTTATCTTCAGCCAACTTTTTGCACAGATTAACGAGTGGCTGAGATATGGTGAACAACAAGTCATGTTCTGCAATGAACGTGCATACGCGTATTTTTAAATCACAAACCCGATCAGTCATTGATGCCGGTACCTCAGCGGTGGCTGCTGCTCCTGGCAAATGAGGTAAGTTTCAGAGCAGACAGCAGCTCTAGACAACAACTCTAGACAAAAAAAATCTTAAATTTAAAAATACAATTGGAGAACTCATTTTAAAAAAACAATTTGGTAAGTAAAAAACAACACAAACTCAAATGGCCGGCGACTTCTCAAACTCGATTGGCAATGTAGTCCGTTTTTTTTTTTTTTTTCAGAACCAAGCGCCGCACACCGGAAATCCGGCACGGTGCCGGAATACTTTAAGCCATGTGATTCTGAGCTCAAAAAACAGTGTAATCCAATCTACTCAATTTACAAATCAGTTTTAAGTGTGACTACAGGGCAGCATCTGTGAAAATAATGGGCAAAATACACTTTTTTGTAACTGTTGCTCAGTAATTGAGCTGATTTTTTTCCTCAGAAAATCCTACGTGTGAGAATTCATTCTCCTTTGGTCAGAGATCTGCAGCTGCAAAGCACTTTCAGGGTTAGTCATGTCCCTGGATCTTGAGTGTTTGCATGATCTGTTTACTCAGAGCCTTCTGAATTTAACTGCTGGCGTCTTTAAACAGGATGCTACAAAGTCATGGAAGTGCTTTACAAATTTTCTATAGGTGTAACATGGTCTGAATACTTGAATGTTTAATGCTAAGCAATGACATGTTCTGTTTTTTTTTTTTTTATTAACATATCTTAGTTCCTGCTTGCTGTCTGAAACAACCCACAGCTGTTTCACTGTCTAGTTTCAGTCTCGCTTCAATTAAGGACACAAGAGGCTTTAACAGTCACTAAAATATGCAAATAATTGATAAAACTCTCAAAATTCCTCTAAATGGGTATTTGCAGTTGCTGTTGTTAATATGTGCCCTCACTTATGTAATTACTGACTGGGACTGGTTACGTTGCCAAATTTTGCTTGTTGTTATTTTGCAAATGGTCTTTATTTGT